CTGGAAGTTAAAATAATGCTTTGGGTAAGCAATTTCCAATGTTTGTACATTTTACCCCAGGTCTCCTGCAACAATACTTACTTAAATACAGTGTTCATGCTATATAAAATTCAGGTACAACTTAACACAATATTTACTACAGTTGCCTATTGAAGATAATCAAATTAATTTAACTCAGTGTTCAGCACCTTGGGACATCCTCCTGACATGAAAGGCACTATACAAATGTAATTTATTGATGTTTGTGAGATGTTGCTGATTCAGATTGGCTGCCACAATGCTAATAATCACTTCATTTCTAGGCAAAACACTTTGAGACATTTTACTTTTTTTTTACATGAAAGGCACTTTAGAAATAGGAGAAAGTGTTTTGGTCAACAAGAACATCAACATGAACAAAGCAGTTAACTTTTACGTAAACAAAATAAACATTCCCCAGCAATCACTTGTAAAATGAAAACAAGTGCATACCTAAAGTATTCTTAAAACTCATACTTAAAAAGGGAATTATTTTTCTCAGCTTTTTCCATTTCTTTTGTTGTTGTTGTATCAATCTGGCGCTTTCGTTTTGTTGACAGGTTTTATATCCGCCTCTCAAATCTTCAGTAGGCTACTTTCTGATCTTTCTATTTGGATTCGCTCCTTTGAATTTATTTTGTTTATCTTACTAAATTCACCTTGTTTTATTCCAATAAATTTTGGGTTATGTCACATGTTCTCAGTTGACCTACACTTTCATTTCAGTCAGTACCTTTGTGATCTGATAAGTTTGTTTAACACTTGCCCAACTTGCTCAAAAAGTGGAGTCCTGTAGCTTAGTGGTCAGAGCACTTGTCTCGCAAGCGAGAGGTTCTGGGTTTAATTCCCAGCAGGACGAAACATTGGGCAAGTTTCCTTATTCCACACTCATCTGTATACCAAGCATTGAGTATGAACCCAGTTGTTATCCGATTGACTGATCGCTTTTCTGGGGTTAATAATTACTTAAAAATAAAAATTTTCAAAATAATTTGGTCTCTCACGCCACTACTATTGGTGGGACACTGCTGTGCGCAATTGGCTGCCATGTTTCGCCCACAAAATACGGTCAATTCACTTTACAGTATATTCCGTGAAGCGCCTTGAGACGTTTTGAAATTTGATCTCATATGTGCAATTCTCAATGGATCTGGCAAACAAAAATTGGTGGGTCAAAATAGTTTTGAATGATGTCATCTCCCTCGCGAACCGACACGTTACAAAACAACCAGTTTTATTAAAACATCAACGTACGCCATCCGCCTCTTATCACGCTTGAATTATTACAGTAAAGGCTTTATCAGTACCACATGCTCCATTCTCATGCACACTGACAGCCTTTGGCTTTCAAGAACTGTTGTGTATTCATTCCATTTAATATTAACACAATAACAATTTGTGCGATGGATTGAAATTAGGGGAGAGGAAAGTTGCATTTGCTTTGAACCCTTCGGAAAAGTTAAGTTTTTCTTTTCTTACCAATTTTTTTTAAAAAAAGATGAATTTGGTCAACTCAATTCATGACTGTTAGTGGGACACTGCTACGAGCAATTGGCTACCACATCTCTTCTACATAACAGTCAATTTGCTTTACAGTATATTTTGTGAAGCACTTTGATGCATCTCGAAGATGTGATAAGGCGTTATATCAAACGCAAGGATTATTATTAAAACACCCAGAGGGATCCTACTCATATAGCACTATTGGCCACAGAAAGTTCTTATATCAGGATTACAACAACAACAAAATGACATTTGGCTAGTGCCTTTCACGTCAGGAGGACGTCCCAAGGCACTGAAATTTCCAAAACTATTTCTAAGGAGTTTTGGATTCTAAACGAACCATAATAAAACACAAAATACTGCAGATGCTGGAAATCGGAAACAAAAACAGAGCGAGCTGGGAAAACTCAGCAGGTCAGGCAGCATCTATGGAGAAAAGAAAGTGAGTTTACGTTTCAGGTCCACGACCCTTCGTCAGAACGCTGACCCTTCTGAGGAAGGGTCGTGGACCCGAAACGTTGACTCACTTTCCTTTCTCCATAGATGTTGCCTGACCTGCTGAGTTTTCCCAGCTCTCTCTGTTTTTGTTTCATAATAAAAGTTCCGCTGAGTTATGCGCAAAAGTGTTGAATTAAGTGTTCACGCCAAATAGCAGATAGACTAAATCCACCCACTGCACTCATTTTGAAACTTTTGGCTGGACAAAAAAAAAGTTTAACTGCAATTTTCTTCAATAATTAGATAACCAAAAGGGAATACAAAACCGTAATCATAATGCATGGTTCAGGAAGTAGGAATCATGTACTCAACAGCAACAAATTGGATTTATATATATATGGAATCTTGTTGTTGTTGTTGTTGTTATATTGCCCTTTTCACATTGGGAAGACGTCCTAACTCCATTTCCATGCCATTTCGTAGAATATTACAGTACAGCAGAGAAGGAGGCCATTCGGCCCATTATGCCTGTTCCAGCTCTTTGGAAGAGCTACCAATCAGTCCCACTCCCCTGCTCTTTCCCCATATCCTTGCAATTTTTTCCTTTTCAAGTACCTATCTAATTCCCTTTTGAAAGTTGTTATTGAATCTGTTTCCACCACCCTTTCAGGCAGTTCATTCCAGACCGTAACAACTGTCAGTGTAAAAAAAATTCTCCTCATCTCCCTTCTGGATCTTTTGCTAATTATCTTGAATCTATGTCCCCTGGTTACCGACCCACCTGCCATTCGAAACAGTTTCTCCCTATCTGTTCTATCAAAACCCCTCATAATTTTGAACACCTCTATTAAATCTCCACTTAACCGTGTCTGCTCAAAGGAGAGCAATTCCAGCTTCTCCTGTCTCTCCACATGACTAAAGTCCCTCATCCCTGGTATTTTATTTGCAAAACAAAGCACTCACAATGTGCTGTAGTGTATTTTTATTTCATTTGAGTTTTGTTTTTTCCTAATGACAGCTGTCACTGTTAACACTGGTGACCTGGGTACTCAAAATAATGCAACACTGAAAGGGTAACTCTTTGAAGGAGTCACTGCTTATCAAGTGATCATCTGTATTTAACTATGCCCAATTATTTACTGTGGTTCCTTCCCAGTAATTATATATAATCAACTCTGATTATCACTCGATAAACTTACAGTGATTACCTAAAGGACCCTTTACTGCATCAAACACTAAGGCCTTCACAACACCCAATGTTGGTATGGCAAAACACAGATCTCAAAAGAATATTATAAAAATAATATCTTGAAGGAATTTCAAGATTGTAAAATTTCAGGATTCAAATAAAAGTTATGAACTGCTGAAGCTTCATTCTTGTAGTTCACCATATCTCTGAACACTGACAATGTTTGTGTTGAAATCATCCTCTTTATGCTTAGTTTAAGGGGAAGGAAAGTGTGCATATATTTCATACTATGAGATAACATAATAAAGTTTGGATTGAGAAAAGGTTATTCAGCTCATCAGTTATCTCCACTTTTTCAATAGATCAATCCATCCTACTCCACCCGACCCTTAATGTAAGGTAACACAAGAGGAAAATATCTGCCTACTTTTCTCCAGGTCACTAAACACACAAATCAAATAAAACTGCAGATCCAAGAAATTCAAGAACTACACAAGGTTCAATTAACCATCTCTCCAATACAAACCCCAATTCTGAATTATCTACTTCCCTTTAGCACTGAAGACATCGTCATTGTTGATTATTCTAGCAATAATTATTATTAATTATCCCAGTTTCAACACCACCTCAATTATCATTGGAGGATACAAGGACACAAAACTTAGCAATAAGTTTATTATCCAAAAAATAATTATTTCCACCTAAATCTCTTTTGCCACAAGCGAAACCTTTTATAAAAAAAACACTAGATTAAACTCTGTACTAAGGAAAACAAACATACTCAGAGACGCACACACAATTTATTTCATTTGAGTAATTTTATGTAATCAACTCTAATTATCATTCAATAAACTTCCAGTGATTACCTAAAAGACCCTTTACTCCAGACAAATTCATGCATCAACTACCAAGGACTTCACAACAACAACAACATTTATATAGCCCTCTCACACAGGATAGAGACCCAAAGCGCTTGACAGTGGTGGAGCACGACGCTAAGACGGGGGGAACCGATTGTAGGTACGGTCAAAGAGGAAGGTCTTCAGGCGCGACCTGAAGATGGGGAAGGACGGAGCAAGGCGGAGGAATAGAGGAAGAGCGTTCCAGGGATTCGCGGCGTAGTGCCTGAAAGCGCAGCCCCCAATGGAGGAACAGAGGGACATGCATAAGGCCGCAGCCAGTCAAGAGGAGGCAGCGGGTTGTGGAGTAAGCAGGTTGGGAGAGTGTAGTATGTATCTGCACGTACATAAACAAGCAAATACATAAACAAACACATAAACTACATTAAATAGCAAGCTTTCTACCCCCTCCCCACCCACCCCACCCCTACTCTCCTCAGTTCCCATGTTCATAAACAAAAACACTTTCAGAAACACAAACACACACATACACACACACCCTACACACACATACACACACATTCACAAACACAAACACACACATACACACAAACACACACACAAACATACACACAAACACAAACATACACACAAACACACACACCCACACAAACACAAACAAACACACACAAACATACACACACGTACACACACACATTCACAAACATTCGCACACACACACAGGGAAGTTGTCACTTCGTTTATCTGTCAAAATGTTTTCAAAAAAAAACTTCAGAAAACTGCCTGCCCTTAAGTTGGGATGAACATGAAGCTAAGATGTAAGTTTAAAGCAAAAGCTCTCTCTCTTTCTCACACACACACACACACACAGAGGACCACACCAGAGCCCTCATTGCCAACAGCTCCTACCAACTCTTTCCTCCCTCCCTCACTCCCGGCTACAGCAGCGAGCACAGACATTGCCGGGCACAGGAGCTGTCACTTGTCACTACCTTTTGGGCGCGGGCTGCTCCATGGCTGCCGTTTCTCCACCCCTCCCCCTCACCACCGCCCCGCGGGTTCAAAACGCCGCAACCTTCCACCGGCCGCAACCGCCTCTTCAAACCGCCGTGCCTCGCGCGCCTGCGCACGCGCAGCCGTCACCACCACCGCCGCCAGCTGCCGCCGCGCAACCTCACCCCCGCGCCTCGGCGGCCCCGCCCACCCCAGCCTCCCATTGGTCCGTCGGGCGGAGGGCGCCGCCCTGCCCCGTGACTGGATGGAGGCTGTGGCTGTCAATCAAACGCCGGTGTCGCTCAAGGTTGTGTGTGTGTGTGTGTGCGCGTCGCACTAACCGACGCCCTCAGCCAAAACCGAGGGGGATTGTGGGATCAACACCAACCAACCAACAACAACAACCAACACCACCAAACAACAACAACCAACCAACAGCAACAAACAACAACAACAACCAACCAACAACAACAAAACCAAACAACAACAACCAACCAACAACAACAACACCAAACAACAACAACCAAACAACAACAACACCAAACAACAACAACCAACCAACAACACACAAAACCAAAACAACAAACAAAACCAACAACAACCAACAACAACACCAAACAACAACCACAACCAACCAACAACAACAACACCAAATAACAACAACACCAAACAACAACAACACCAAACAACAACACCAACCAACCAACAACAACACCAACCAACAACAACCAACAACAACAACCAACCAACAACAACAAAACCAAACAACAACAACCAACAACAACACCAAACAACAACAACCAACAACAACAACAACACCAAACAACAACAACACCAAACAACAACAACCAACCAACAACACCAAACAACAACAACCAACAACAACAACCAACCAACAACACCAAACAACAACAACACCAACCAACACCAACCAACAACGACAACCAACCAACAACACCAAACAACAACAACCAACCAACAACACCACCAAACAACAACAACCAACCAACAACACCAAACAACAACAACCAACAAACAACAACAACCAGCCAACAACAACCACAACACCAACCAACAACACCAAACAACAACCAACAAAAAACAACCAACCAACAACAACACCAACCAACAACAACCAACCAACCAACAACAACAACAAACAACCAACCAACAACAACCAACAACAACACCAAACAACAACAACAACAACAACCAACCAATAACAACAACACCAAACAACAACACCAACCAACAACAACAACACACTGCGTGTCCGGGGGGGGGGGTGTGGAGGCTTTCACGTTGGGAGGACCAACCCAAGACCCTGCTGGACAGTGGAGAATTTGCGCCCGACTCGCGGGTCGGAGTCAGGAAGGATGGAGGATAATAATCCTCGCCGCTTTTTGACGTCTCAAAGGACTTCGCAGAGCGTACTGTCAAGTGTAGCGACTGCGAGTTTCGTGGGTGAAACCAACAGCAACAACAACAACAACAAATCACAGAATCGTACAGCACAAAAAGAGGCCGTTCGGCCTATCAAGTCTGTGCCGGCTCTTTGAGAAGAGCAATTAATGTCAATCCCACTCCCCAGCCCTTTCCCCAGAACCCTGCAAACCCGTCCTCCTCAAATGCCCGTCCACCGTGTTTTTAAAAGTTGTTATCGAATCGGCCTCGACCGCCCTTTCAGGCAACGCGTTCCAGATTTGAGCAACTCGCGCGAAAAAATTTCTTCTCACCTCCCCCTCTGCTTCTTTTGGAGACTATTTTAAATCTGACCTCAAGTCACTGACACATCCACCAGTGGAAACGTTTTTTCCCTTTCTAACCTATTTACACAGCGCCCTTCACACAGAGTAGGGTCCTCGGAGCACTTAACACTGACACTGACACACTCTCTCACACACACACACACACAACACAACAACAAATTACATTTACACTGCGTTGTTCACTTCGGAGTTTGTGGGTGAAACACAGCAGCCAATTAACACGGAGTGGAGTCTGACGTCACCTATGTGTGTGATCATTAAACCGAGATTCCTCCCGTTCTGATGAAAGGTCATCGACCTGAAATGTTAACTCTCTCCATAGATGCTGCCTGACCTGCTGCGTGTTCCTAGTAACTTGTGTTTTTATTTCAGATTTCCAGCATCTGCAGTATTTTGCCCTTTTGTTCCTTCCCGTCTGCCTGGTCGGGTGGTAGTTAAAGTTCTCATGCCCCTACTCGGAAAGAGAAGTGAGTTTCTCTCTCCTGGAGTCCTGCCCAACAATCCTCCAGATAAAATTGGTCATTAACTTTATGGCAATTAATTGCTGTGCGCAAATTGGCTGTTGCGTTCACCTACCAATACACACACAGTCACTCCATTTTAGTATATGCTGTGAAGCACTTTGGGATATCCACACAATGTGTAAATAGCCTATATCCAATGTAAATGATTATTATTAACTCCTAAATCCTTCCACCCTCCACCCACTTCCACCATTTACCCATCTTCCAATCACACCTGAAGACTTTCCTGTTCGACCGAGGCCCCAAGTCGTTGTCAACCTATGCCATTGTACAGCACTCCAAAGTTATCCACGTGAAGAGCACTATTTCAATGCAAATTGTTTCTGTTTTTGTGTAACTGCATAGATAGAGACTTGGAAGCCGGATAGAAAGAGCTGTTAGTGTGTTTCGATTGGAAATGTGCCCTTTTCTTGAAAATGCTTGAATTCCACGATTAAAGTTTTTTTCAGGTGGACGATAATCATTTGTTTTTTGATTGACACTTCCAATGCGAATTCCCCTGTCTACCTCTTCCAACTGCCTCCCCACTCCATCCTTCTCATCCAACTCCCTCCTGCAACAACTAACCAATTCTCCTCTACCTTCTCCCACCCTCCCTGTCTTCAAAACCCTTCAACTATATCTTTGGCAACCTACTTCCTATCCGCCCCCACTCCTTCCTCTTGCTCAGGAATGCACACCATCCTTGTAAAACACTATTGAGATATTATTCTGCCTATGTAAATTCTTGTTGCCATGAAGCATAACCAATAACACAATCAGGCTACTCCAACATGATGGGATAACTGCACTAGAGACAGTGAAGAGAAGAGCTACAAGTCTGATCCCCAGTGTTTGTTGTTGTTTGACTTGAGGTATAACCAACCGAGAATCTGGGTATTGCAACATGATGGGATGACCACTGGACCCAGTGCAAAGGAGAGCAACAAGTGTGATTTCGAGTGTTTTAACTCACAATCTAGGCTCATGTTTCATAAACACACAAGTTTTTTTTTGAGAGTAATAAACTTTGAGGAATGACTACATAAGCTATGTGATTTAAGCTTTCACATTAGATAAATTTGAGGCAACTTTATAGAGATATGTAGGGTGCCAAGCGGGAAAGAGAAGTTAAACCTAGCACAGTACTTTGTGAATTCCTGCAGCATATTGGTTAGACCACCCAAATGAGAAGACCTGGGTTTGATTCCCAGCCCCAGCAAAACCTTAGGCAAGTTTCCTTACTCCACACGCATAGGTTTCACTAGCAGGAGTCAGTTGTTAGTCAATCGACGGATTGTATTCCAGGAGTAATCCCTGAAAAAAATGCTAATTTGATCACTCAATCCACGACTGTTGTGGGACACTGCTGTGTACAATTGACTCCTGCATTACACCTACAAAATATACAGTTAATTCACTTTACAATATATTTTGTGAAGTGTTTTGAGACATCTCAAAGACATAATAAGGCGCTATTTCAAATGCAAGGATTATTATTTTTGTACTTTAGATACACAAAGGCAGTTGGACAAAAGGTCACAGGATTGTGAAGGGCATGTTAGGAACAGACATCAGGAAACATTTCTTTACAGAAGGAAATCAACATCTGGAACTGCTTACCAGGAAGTATGGTAGGGCTTGTTGAAGTAATGGGAATAAGATAAGGTGAGTATTCTGGAAGGATGAATTGGCAACATTACGTGGAGAAGAAAGTGATCGAATTACAGTTACATTTTATTGTCTTGGATGTTTTATGCCAAAATACAAGGTCATCCTTTGATCAGGTGAAAGACTTAGAATTCTAATAGAATATCATATTTTTATACATGCATATAACCGTCAGTGGACTGCTTGGGAGATGATCTCATAATTCAAGAGTTATTGTCATACAGGAAAATTTTATAACTTGTGCGGCTCCTAAACTGAGTTTGTAAGCCTGATACTGTGAAAACCTTGTTGGTATTCACCTCTACCCTGAATAAATAATGGTAGATAATGACTCCGGCCTCCTGTTCATCCATCGACGCCTCCACTCCACCATTAGCAGCCGTGCTTTCAGCCACTAAGCACCCAAAGCTCTGGAATTCCCTTCCTCAATCACTCCACCTTGCCCCCTCTCTCTCCACTTTCACATCCCACCTAAAGACCTTCCTTTCGATCGTGCTTACGGTCACCTCCCTCCTCCCTCTCCCCCTTGCTCGGGGTCAAACTCCACCAGTGTCAAGCGCTCCAGAACTCTACCCCACGTGAAGGGTGCTATATAAATGCAAGTTGTTGTTGTACTTAGCCATGAGTCAAGTGTGTTTCCTTGTATAACTCAAAATGTGTCCAGCTTACTGGAGAAAATTTTTGTCACACACTCTCTGTTTATTTTTGTCAAGTGAAACATTGAGTATTATTATTAACTTTTAAATCCACATCCCTTTTGAATAACCATATCTAGCCTGCAGACCTTTAAGATATAATTGATGTACTTGGGAATTCTAGTTCATGCCCATAGCAGTACAGCTTCAAACTTTCCAGTAACTCTTTTTGTTCCTCTGCCAGGCTGAATTTATTTTATTTAATTTTTTGGTCAGCCCGATGTCTGAAGCATGTGAAAATCCATCACCATGCATAAGAATATCCAAACCAGAAGAGTTTCATACATCCCACCTACACAAGAAAGTTCCAGTATATTGGAATGAAATGCACAATCTCCATGGAGGGATGTATCTTGCTTACCTATTCAGAAGAGTATTAGGTGTTGACTGCCAAGAGGCAAAGCTTGAGGACCCCAGAGTGTGCTTTGGGTACTCCTGAATTTACAACAGGTAAAGATGGGGATTCAAGGCACTGTTACTCAAACTGCAACATAGATCATAGAATCATAGAATATT